TACAGGGTGGGCCATTTATATGGATACACCGTAATAAAATGGGAATGGTTGGTGATATCAAAGTCCTGTTTGTGGCACATTAGCATATGTGAGGGGGCAAACTCCTCAAGATGGGTGGTGACCATGGTGGCCATTTAGAAGTCGGCCATCTTGGATACAACTTTTGTTTTTTCAATAGGAAGAGGGCCATGTGACACATCAAACTTATTGGTAATGTCACAAGAAAAACAATGGTGTGCTTGGTTTCAACGTAACTTTATTCTTTCATGAGTTATTTACAAGTTTCTGACCACTTATAAAATGTGTTCAATGTGCTGCCCATTGTGTTGGATTGTCAATGCAACCCTCTTCTCCCACTCTTCACACACTGATAGCAACACCGCAGGAGAAATGCCAGCACAGGCATCCAGTATCCGTAGTTTCAGGTGCTGCACATCTCGTATCTTCACACCATAGACAATTGCCTTCAGATGACCCCAAAGATAAAAGTCTAAGGGGGTCAGATCGGGAGACCTTGGGGGCCATTCAACTGGCCCACGACGACCAATCCACTTTCCAGGAAACTGTTCATCTAGGAATGCTCGGACCTGGCACCCATAATGTGGTGGTGCACCATCTTGCTGGAAAAACTCAGGGAACGTGCCAGCTTCAGTGCATAAAGAGGGAAACACATCATCATGTAGCAATTTCAAATATCCAGTGGCCTTGAGGTTTCCATTGATGAAGAATGGACCCACTATCGTTGTACCCCATATACCACACCAAACCATCACTTTTGTTGTTCCAACAGTCTTGGAGGGATCCATCCAATGTGGGTTAGTGTCAGACCAATAGCGGTGGTTTTGTGTCAATGGAAAATTGTACTTAGTAGTCAGTATAATCTTTTAATGATATAAGTTTGCATATGGTAGAATACTGCATGTAATCATTTGTGTTTAGAAGTATATAGTTGGTGGCATATTGAAAGAATGTCTCATCCTAGGAGGTCTGTAACATTCCAGGGTGTTCTGGCGTTCACCCCCACATCCTAGGAGTATGGGAGAGGTCGTACCTTGTCTTATTGTTTTACGGTAGGATTAACGTAGCTATATCTGTTTTAGTCTAAGTGCCTTTTGTTTAGATGAACTGCTGGACTTCCAGACCAGCAGGTTTAGGGAAGTCTTTATGGGGTCACACTCTGACACACACACACACACACACACACACAGACACACACACACACACAACACACACACACACAAACACACACACCACACACACACACACACACACACACACACGTTTACACCTCCACATTTCAATGTATGGAACAAAGCTCACTGAAGTATAAATAAAAGACCAGGGCAGTCCTCAGTGCTTAGTCTCTGAGGCTCACTCTTGGTGTGTGAGCTCAGGAGGCTGCCCTTGCTAGCAAGAAAATCTGTGTGTTTCTCCTCTCTGATTCTCTGCTGAAGAAGTGTTTTAGAATATATCTCTTAACATTTTGTTTGTTAACTTCACCATTCACATAAAAGTTTGCCTCATCACTGAACAAAATCTTCTGCGTGAACTGAGGGTCCTGTTCCAATTTTTGTTTTGCCCATTCTGCAAATTCTGTGCGCCGATCTGGGTCATCCTCGTTGAGATGCTGCAGTAGCTGGAGTTTGTAAGGGTGCCATTTGTGAGTAGCTAATATCCAGTGACATGCGGCGAGTGCTACGCTGTGGGCTCTTGCTGAATGAAGCTAGGACAGCCACTGATGTTTCTTCATTAGTGACAGTTTTCTTGCTTCCACATTTTGGCAAATAAAACACTGAACCAGTTTCACGAAACTTAGCAAGCAGTTTGCTAACTGTAGCATGGGAGATGGGTGGTCTCGTAGGGTGTCTTGCATTGAAATCTGCTGCATTTGCTTGGTTCCTGCGTTCACCAGATATCAACACAATTTCGATCCGCTCCTCACGTGTTAACCTCTTCGACATGTCAATGGCTGTGAACAAAGAGAAACTTGTAAATAACTCATTCAAGATGGGTGGTGACCATGGTGGCCATTTAGAAGTCGGCCATCTTGGATACAACTTTTGTTTTTTCAATAGGAAGAGGGCCATGTGACACATCAAACTTATTGGTAATGTCACAAGAAAAACAATGGTGTGCTTGGTTTCAACGTAACTTTATTCTTTCATGAGTTATTTACAAGTTTCTCTTTGTTCACAGCCATTGACATGTCGAAGAGGTTAACACGTGAGGAGCGGATCGAAATTGTGTTGATATCTGGTGAACGCAGTAACCGGGTCATTGCAGCAGATTTCAATGCAAGACACCCTACGAGACCACCCATCTCCCATGCTACAGTTAGCAAACTGCTTGCTAAGTTTCGTGAAACTGGTTCAGTGTTGGATTTGCCAAAATGTGGACGCAAGAAAACTGTCACTAATGAAGAAACATCAGTGGCTGTCCTAGCTTCATTCAGCAAGAGCCCACAGCGTAGCACTCGCCGCATGTCACTGGATATTAGCTACTCACAAATGGCACCCTTACAAACTCCAGCTACTGCAGCATCTCAACGAGGATGACCCAGATCGGCGCACAGAATTTGCAGAATGGGCAAAACAAAAATTGGAACAGGACCCTCAGTTCACGCAGAAGATTTTGTTCAGTGATGAGGCAAACTTTTATGTGAATGGTGAAGTTAACAACAAATGTAAAGATTGTATTCTAAAACACTTCTTCAGCAGAGAATCAGAGAGGAGAAACACACAATTTCTTGCTAGCAAGGGCAGCCTCCTGAGCTCACACAAGAGTGAGGCTCAGAGACTAAGCACTGAGGACTGCCCTGGTCTTTATTTATACTTCAGTGAGCTTTGTTCCATACATTGAAATGTGGAGGTGTAAACGTGTGTGTGTGTGTGTGTGTGTGTGTGTGGTGTGTGTGTTTGTGTGTGTGTGTGTTGTGTGTGTGTGTGTGTCTGTGTGTGTGTGTGTGTGTGTGTGTGTCAGAGTGTGACCCCATAAAGACTTCCCTAAACCTGCTGGTCTGGAAGTCCAGCAGTTCATCTAAACAAAAGGCACTTAGACTAAAACAGATATAGCTACGTTAATCCTACCGTAAAACAATAAGACAAGGTACGACCTCTCCCATACTCCTAGGATGTGGGGGTGAACGCCAGAACACCCTGGAATGTTACAGACCTCCTAGGATGAGACATTCTTTCAATATGCCACCAACTATATACTTCTAAACACAAATGATTACATGCAGTATTCTACCATATGCAAACTTATATCATTAAAAGATTATACTGACTACTAAGTACAATTTTCCATTGACACAAAACCACCGCTATTGGTCTGACACTAACCCACATTGGATGGATCCCTCCAAGACTGTTGGAACAACAAAAGTGATGGTTTGGTGTGGTATATGGGGTACAACGATAGTGGGTCCATTCTTCATCAATGGAAACCTCAAGGCCACTGGATATTTGAAATTGCTACATGATGATGTGTTTCCCTCTTTATGCACTGAAGCTGGCACGTTCCCTGAGTTTTTCCAGCAAGATGGTGCACCACCACATTATGGGTGCCAGGTCCGAGCATTCCTAGATGAACAGTTTCCTGGAAAGTGGATTGGTCGTCGTGGGCCAGTTGAATGGCCCCCAAGGTCTCCCGATCTGACCCCCTTAGACTTTTATCTTTGGGGTCATCTGAAGGCAATTGTCTATGGTGTGAAGATACGAGATGTGCAGCACCTGAAACTACGGATACTGGATGCCTGTGCTGGCATTTCTCCTGCGGTGTTGCTATCAGTGTGTGAAGAGTGGGAGAAGAGGGTTGCATTGACAATCCAACACAATGGGCAGCACATTGAACACATTTTATAAGTGGTCAGAAACTTGTAAATAACTCATGAAAGAATAAAGTTACGTTGAAACCAAGCACACCATTGTTTTTCTTGTGACATTACCAATAAGTTTGATGTGTCACATGGCCCTCTTCCTATTGAAAAAACAAAAGTTGTATCCAAGATGGCCGACTTCTAAATGGCCACCATGGTCACCACCCATCTTGAGGAGTTTGCCCCCTCACATATGCTAATGTGCCACAAACAGGACTTTGATATCACCAACCATTCCCATTTTATTACGGTGTATCCATATAAATGGCCCACCCTGTACTCTAGTACGACACATTCCACCCACTGAGATAAATGTGTTTTTTGTGCATTAATTGTAATAGTTTGGAAGAAAATCAACGAGAAGAGTGGATAAATGAGCTGCTTATTTTGGTCTTTGAACTATAATTCTGTGACAAATGGTGCAGGACTAGTTGGGTGCAAAACTTTTTTGTCCCTTTGCACCATAAATGGGATTTTTTCCTTTACGACAATCCCACCAAATACTGCATTTTGGCATTTTTAAGTACTGTATTTGAAGCAGCGTCCAAACTTTCTAGTCTGTTTAGCCCGTACTGAATATTTTTAATTTGATCATTTTATAGCCCTTTAATCTCAAGGCAAAACCTAAGAAATCGCCCCTTTTACAGCTATTTTTGCCGTTACAGATACTTTTTAATTCTTTCCTATCTTTGTACAATTACAATCAAATATTTCTGTTTAGTATATAGGAAATGCATTTAATTATTACCACAAATAGACTCTTTCATATACTTCTCACTCACCATCCTGATTCATCATGACTCTGTTTCACACTTTAAATATTGCTGCAGACTGTGTATATTTTGCCATCTGGGTTATGCTCATCGATTTATAATGAGGGGTAGTTGCTGGCATGAAATCAGATAAAGGAATGGCAAACTGGCAGTGTTCTGTTTTAAATCTGCCTTTATTGATAGCAAAGGTGGAGCTGCTGAAAGAAAAAAAATCTTGCTGATGCTTTTATGTTATACTAGACTATATATGTACAGGTATAGCTACATACAGTGAAATAGTTTGTGTTGATGCACAAAGTTGGCTTTGTGAAACAAATGTCATCAATTTAAATGCTATTTTTTTTTTTGCAGCAACAGATCCGGAGCCTTACTATTATGGTAAGTGAGTATGTTTTGTCTTTTTTAAGTGCAAAATTCTTAAAAGAGGCACATCTAGTTTCTGTTTACAGGCACTGTTTTTAGATGTTTAACATCAGCATCGTGCAGGGGTTAAAGTGGGATTTGGCAGGTGGGGGTACTCAAGGTTCAAGTGTATTAGGGCAGTGAGGGAACAACTATATTGTACAATATGTAGGCCCACATTATATTTGCCACTATGGCTGCTTTCCAACCCCCAGCCAGTAGAAAGCTGCAATTTGGCAACTGTTACTAATGAACACGAAAAGCTTAAATAAGCTTAAATTAAAATCAGTGACACTGTCTACTTAGCAGCCGCGCATAGATTTACTGTTATTTTGAAGCATTATCTAAATTATCTTTCATTTCAAACATCAACAGGATAAAAACTTACAGGCACGTACAAAATATTTAGTAAAATCTGATACAGATCTGTTCAAACTTTGCATGCAGTTCTAATTCGACCACTATCTAAATATCTTTTAAATTTCAATTCAGAATTAAAGGGCTTATCTCTCTTTTATAATGTTTCTGGAGATACGAGGACCCATCGAGCATTGAGCCAGGACACCACAGTCTGCACTTTACAACTCCAACATAGTTCATCACTGACCCACAATACAGACTGCACGTGTATAGACTTTGGATAACATGAATTAATATCAATTACCGGTTAATTTACTTTCAAAAACATTTTATGATGTGAAACATCCAGACAACTTTAGAAACTTGTTATATAGCGATCCAATCTGATTACCAAGCTGTAAACTGAACTAGAACATTACGTGTAAGCTTGAAATTTCTACCTTTATTAGAGCATTTTTCTCAAGTCTTCCCTCTGTTCTCCATCTCACAGAGTAAAATGATCATGCATTAGTATTTTTTCTTCCCTGGGAAACACAGTCACTCTGCCCTCAGCTAGCAGACAAATTATGTGTCAAACTGCAAAGAAACTGTTTTCGTGTCATACATATTGAGCTGTTTGAAATGCTGAATTTTCAAGTACTCTCCACTTCAAAAAAGTTACTCCGATTACGCTCACTGCACTTCTGTAGCACTAGCTAGATGAAGCATCTTAATAAGCACAGCTTTGCATCTGAACTGTAGTGACTTAACTGTCTCTGCAGCCCATAAAGACTGAAATGACTTAAAAATATTGTGTATTAAACTGCCAACCTGATTTAATTACTCATTAACTGAAAGTGCCGGAAAGTTCAGGCTCACTTTTACAACTGGTGTCGTCAACAAACACAAATTACATTTCAGCAATCTTACTCTCACGAACTCTTTTGTTTTTCTTAAGATGTTGAGAGGTTACGTACGCGTACGACCCTGCAGCTAGAACGTGTGCATGTTTAGCACGTGCTGTTTGCACGTCGTGTTTGTGTAATGACTATGTTTTTGAAACAAGCTCAGAAAACAGAGTGCTTGTCTTACAGTTGAAATATGTTTGAGAACTAATTTGTTTCTGTCTGTGTCTTTCTCCAATACGCCCTCCAACCAGCAGATCAAACCACAGGTACAGCCATATCTTTTAGTTGCTCACTCTTATCCACAAGTAACACAGACAATGAATTATTTACGGTAGTTTTGTTTTGTATTTTTGCACATCTGCCACTAGATTTGAAAGACAGAAAAAAACTGCAAAAACAAAAAAAAAAGCACCCACCAGTTTGTGATATACGCTCAGGTAGCATGTTGATTAGGCTAACTTTACGTCTACAAGTTGTTGAGTTTGTCTAAAGTCAGTAATTAAGTAAAACGCCAGATGCTTTGGTTACTTGGACAAGTGATTTGAGCTTAATTGTTTGTAATGTTAAGGTAATTTTCTCTATTTCAACAAAAAAAAAAGGCTTTGAGGAAGAGGTCAGATCAATATGACCGGTGTAAACCACCTTGGATGATGAGGCTGTTAAGTTCTCTTAAGCTAACCTTATGAAAATCTGACCTCCTGTTGGAACAGCTTCCACATGGTGGGATACTTCTGTATAATGATACTCTTGGTGTGCTTTTTGAAAAGCATAGATGAGTTTACATACCTGAGGTCAACCATCAACCCTCCAGTCGGTGGAGAATAATGTCAGGGATGATTCCTGACAGAAGGATAGCAGAAAGAGTGAATGGGAAGTTTCACAAGATGTTAGTGAGACCTTCTGTGATGTACGGATTGGAGACTCTGGCACTGACAAAAAAGACAGAAGGCCGACCTAGAGGTGCCAAAGTTAAAGATGTTAAGATTTTCATGGGGAGTGACCAGAATAGACATGAGAATAAATGGTTTAGACATGTGTAGAGGATGTATAGAGGATATATTGGACAAAAGATGTTGAAGATGGAGCCCCCAGGAAGGAGGAAGACCTCATGTAATGAAGAAGCACATGTGGAGGGTTGGTGTGACAGAAGAGGATGGTAAGGGCTAGGATGAGATGGAGGCAGATCATCTGGTGTAGCAACCTCTAAAGTGAGAAGCCGAAAAAAGAACAAAATGTAATATTTTAGCTTATTTTGTTAGAAATAGATAAACAATTTTATGCTTCAGATGAACAGTAAATCTTATTGTGTCAGTTGAAACCATATCTTTGTTTGACAGTGAGTAAAAAACACTCCTTTACTTGTCCTTAAATCACATCTTGAGTTTCTCTTCCTCTCTGATTTCTCTCTCTCTCTTGCATCAATAGACACCCCTCCTCCGAATCAACGCGAGGACAGAGTCGCTGTAAGTCACTTCTATTTTCCTGCAGCTCTACGGTTTTGCTGTTTGCCACTGCAAGTTATTTATGGTTTGTGCCTGTTTCTCTTTCATTTATTTGTGTTTCCTGTCTAGAAACACCTGAGCTGGCTCTATTTTTATGTAATGCGTAATTGAATAAACCCAACACATTGAAGATAAAGCAGTCCTTAAGAAAATCTGCCTTTCTTGAGCAGTGATATAAACACAGCCTGTGGCCTATACCTTTTGTTGTGGTGGGTTTGGCATTTGGCTTTGTGTAGCTGTCAGTGTGTTTGCTCACCTCTTGGGAGATTTATAACCCCGATTTCTCATTGTACAGGTGTACGTGGTGGTGGGCATCGCTGCTGTAGCCTTCACTGGTTTCCTTGTAATGTTGATTATTCTCAAGTTTGGAGGAAACTCCAAGTTTGGCATCAAAGGTAAGACTTCTTGCTCTAATCTTGAGTTGTGGTCTGTGGGAGAATGAACCGGTGATTTTAGTTTGACGTGGATGGCTTCATGGATACGTGAAAACATTAAAGCCTGTTATTAATTAGAGGGAGAGAAACTATGTTATGTGGTCAAAGATATTTCACTGTATGAATTAACCAAAGAACAACAACAGTATATGTTGTTGTTCTTTGGTTTACATTTCTTCAGTTTACCCAACCTTTTGCTCTGTCACAGCTGAGTAAGACTCCAGATTCCTTGTAACCTTATAATATGTGGATGTATCGAATATTAATATGCCAACATCAAAAGCATATGGGCCAAACAGTGTTCGTCACTGACCACTAAAGCCTTGATTTGTGGTTCCACTTTTGAGGAGGCAAAATATACAGAAATCTAAGTTAAAGGTAGGATGATGGAAAATTAAAGCAATCAGAACCTGAAAGTCTTTGATCATGATCCTAATTTAATATGCAGGCCCTCATGTATCCACGAATTCACCCGGTTCGGATGGAAGCGGCTGCTGTTGTGATTAAGTTTCTCTGGTTCTCAGTTCTGCTGGTACATAACATGCATGTGGACTAAAATGAACTGTAGTCTTTGTCATGTTGATGTGAAATTGCTTTGGTACTGTAGCCACTGTTGAAGCCTCCACACACACATGCTTGCACACACGCCGTCTATCTTTTATGCCACATAGTTTTCCTCTTAAGTATGTTTGAAACAACTGCTTCTGCATTGGCTACAAGTGTCACTAATCTGTTTCCCTCATCTGGTATTTACTATTCTGACTTACTACAGCAGATTTGTCTTTTCTCATTTTTATGCTTGGCTCAGATTTTGTCCTCCTTCTTGTAAACTAACAATAATCACTGAACCACGGTCCTTCCATTTTTCACATCGTACATACAAAAATGGTCATGCTTCATTTTAGTGCTCACATATTCCGTGTGTAGCTATAGAACGATAGGTGAACACATTAATCTTTAATTTTGAAATGAGCCCTTTCAGTCTTTCATTCAGTTTGGTTGAGAAAATAAATACGCCAAATTTGCATTCAGCGCAGACGGTCCATGAACTCCTCGTCTTGAGGAAGTCGTTTTTTGCTTTTTAAAGATTTTTGTTTTTAGGAATAAAACGTTTCTTGGCACCGCTTGAGCCATCACCGTTTGATGCAGCGTAGGTTTATATTTCACATTCAAATTAGCGAACCAAAAAGTGAATGCAAATGTAGTCACAGAGTTACTCGATGTGCGTTGCCAAGTGTGTGCGCCTTTATGTGTGTGACTCTCAGTTACACTGTAGAAGTGCAGTATTTTGACAGTGATTGATTTATGGGTCCCCGGAGAAGGAAGGATGTGGGACAGAAGGAGCAAAAGGATACACATTGTGTTTGTGTGTATGTGATTTCTTAGATGTCTTAGTATCATATATACAGTATATATTTGTGTGTGTGTGAACATCTAAGCATTTTTGCATCCTGTGCAGGAGGTTAGGTCACATTACAGTTTTGCCCTCTGATTGCTTCCCTTGACTCTTCATCTTCCTTCCTTTCAACCCTTCCACCTCCCTCTTTCTGTTCACATTCCCCACACATGTAGAAATACAGATGCATGTGCCCGGCAGCAAGTTTACGCTGCAGTAAGTTTATGGAGAGAGAAATTTGGAGAGGCCTGCATCAGTATGAACAACAGATCTAGACAGGGGGTTCAACAGCTGCGAGTAATCCACAGCAGCACTGAGCCCACTGAAATTAATCTCAACAAGAGAAACACAACTGCTGATGGCAGCTCCTCACCAGTCCTAATCTAAAACAAAAACTATTTTGTCATTGCAAAATAACTAAATCACCCCCACATGATGATGGCGAACTTGTGATCAGAAAGTGTAAAGAGTGCGTGTCAGGCCTTGTACCATATTGAGCAGGTGTGCAGTGAAAAATCGTCACTCGCCTCACTGAGCTGAGGATGATTTGCTGACCGCCTCTTTTTGATAGCTGAGTAAAAAGCTGTGGCTGGTTTACATTATTTATGCCGACTGCATTATTCTGCTCCTCTCTCATCAATAACACATGGACAACGTTTGGTACTGGTTTCCTTGCATGATCTCTTCGCTGCTTCTTGACACTAGAAGGATGATTTCATTTAGTGTGTATAGTAGTTTGTTTTCTCGTGTTGGCACAAAGGAGCAGGTAATATTTAAGTCTGCAGTAGGTTCACATGTGTGCATGCATCAGCAGCGGTGACATGTTGCAGTGTTTACTGTTGTAATCTGATCGAGCCCGTCTTCATGTTGGGGATAATTTATTATCCAATGGTAATTTTCTTGTTTTAGCTTTAGACACTCATGTGGAGCCTGCTGCTGTATGAAAGCTATATGTCATAATCTGAAAGCATCTTT